CTATAATGTCCTTCCTCCCACTCTCGTCAGGAACACCCACTGAAACTTCAAGTTCGAATCGACCAGCTCGACGGGCTGCTGGGTCGATGGCATTCGGCCTGTTGGTGGCGCCCAAAACGACCAAGGGAGGATTAGAACCTGCGCGGCAATAGGTACACAATAACGCTGCAACATGATTATACCACTGTACCAAAGAGAACCTACCTTGGCTCGTGAGGCCAGCTCCGTCCATCTCCGTAAGCAAGGAGGCCACCATCCTCCTCTCTGCCTCTGTGCCTGAACTGCTCCCTCTACCCTCCCGATCGGGACAAACTGCATCAACTTCATCGATGAAGATCAGTGAAGCCAATCCAGAGTCACGACATCGCGCAAAGAGACTGAATACAAAACAATTTAGTCGCATGGTAGTATCCAAGCCTAATCTATGAACGACCCAAGTTCAACTCCCAGGTAGTGTATTTTCTACCACTCATCGCTTCTATCGATGATACACCCACAACTAGCCAAGACCCCATCACCTATGTACTGCCGCCTCTCCCTTCGTAGTAAGCTCAGTCGACTTCACCAACTCAACATGGATTGCCGTACCCGCTGCCTACACACCAAACCACAACGCGCAATAGGCCGCTTCTTACCACGATCTCTACTCTCAACTACGCACGACGGCATTCTATTCGAATACACATATTCAAGCTTACCCTACATACTACTACTACCCCATACCGACCTCTAGCTCCTCTGCCACGGCTGAAGCCAGCAGAGACTTGCCCGTCCCAGGAGGTCCATACAGCAGTACTCCTCTCGGGGGCGACACTCCAAACTCGGCGTACTTCTCCGGGTCACACAACGGCCCTTCCACACAGGATACGATTTCCCCTATGGTCCCCGCCAGGCCGCCAACCCTATCAAAACCCCGAATTTTCGATGCATCCGACTTTTGCTTTTCCTTCACCAAATTGACCTTCACCACAGTACGAGGCGTTACGAGTCCCCATCCCCCCACATGCCGGGTGGTGAATCGAGTAACTCTACCATTAATGACAACCGCGACATCATCCTCCTTATCCAATACATACCCCGTGATAGACCGCGCCAGATAATCCACCATCTCCTTGGGGAGCTCTTCCCCGCATATCTCGCTTAGATGAGCATCCTCCGAGGTGAGCTCAACTTCACAGAGATCCTCAAATTCTTGCCTAAATTTCTTCACTTCAAACCTCCTCGAACCCCCATCCATGCCGGACAGTACACCTTTGCCCCCTTCACTTTACCCACTATACTACACACCACTACCCTCTTCCGTTCAGGGTGGCCTTTCTCCATCACAAGGACCAAGGATCCATTCGAGACACCCGCATTTTTCCCCACGACTTGTGAGATTCGTACCCGTCTCGCCACTGCGTTATCATCAGGAACGACCAACACGTAATTCCTTTCGTCCTCCTCATCCACCAACACCGCTGCTGCTGCCTCTGAAAGACGATCTCCAGAACTCGTCGACACTCGGGGCATTTAAAACGGAAACGCCACCTTTCCTAGGAATAACCTTATTGAACTCAACAGGCCATCCATGAACTCGTCATTCACTCACCAATCCTTATCGAGTTGGATACCACACCTTCCCCAAATTCCTGATGAAAGCCATATAGTCCTTCCGAAGACTGCGTGTTGTATAATCAGAGACCCGATAGCAAGTCCGCCGAAGACGAATCACGTGTACTCACAAGCCTGCTTCTCACCTATGTTCTACCTCCGGCCCTCGCGTCCTCTCTACAAGGCATCATGAAGATGTTTAGACCTAGGCAACGGTGCTTCAAGAGATGATCCTGCCAAGTTGGATATTGAGCATAGAAGGTTGCAGAATACGAAGAAATTCAAAAATAGACCGGAAAATCGGAGGAAAGGTCCACATATAAGCAAACATTACCCCACCCATCCGCCAGTTTCACGTCATCGTTGTCCGTAGTGGAAGTCTGGGCCAACCTATGATGATTGTCATCTCTTTTTCACGCAAAGGAATTGTTGGGCATTGTGTCTTTTCGTCTTCTATTTAGACAATAATGACATTCACTAGCCCTATGCTATGGATCCTAGCGCTAGAGCCTTTATATATTCGTTTATTATGTTAAATAAGCTTCCACAAAGTTTTGTACTTCGCGTTAATCCCTAATCATTTAAACTTTTGGGACAAACTCCTGCCTCGGTCTCCTGACTTCTTCAACGGGCCAGAACAAG